CTGGTCTGCATTGGGACCGACTCCCAGGTCAGCATAGTAATCTCTCGACACGTCCGGCTTCACCATTGTTGCGGCTCGCTGGTAAGCAACGGCCACCAGGCTGGGGGTTGGTTCCCAATATCGACGTTGGAAGCTGTTAAAACGATAGAAGAAAATATATTACTCGAAAGGTAATGATATCATCTTGTGTCTGCCTGCCGGCACCCCTAGAGCAGGTCCTCGTTCTCCTGCGGCTTTGCTGCGTCTCCTGCGTATCCGAGTTATCTCTAGGTCGGTTGTCAGTGGTTACGAGCCGCCCTCTTCCACGCAGGCACAGAGCTTGACTTTTTAGACCGAGCGAGCGAAGAACGACCGCTGTCCGTCCTTTTTTAAAGAGCCGCTGCGATGCTTAAGCAGACACTTGTCAGCGCTCCCTGGTCAAGAAGTCTTGGTGCACGTTGTCTGATTGGGGGGGGTGTTGGGTACCAGTACGCCCCAGGGGACGGACGGGATGAAGCTGTAGGGCAGGATTGGTGCATACCAGGATGAGCTCGGAGATCGAACAGGGCGGCAGACAAGCAGGCAGACGAGAGATCCGGGCTATAGTCAGGCCTGCTCCTGTCGTCCTCGCCCTCCGCTGCTGCGTCTTCTTCTTCTTCCTTGACTCGCGTTTCGCTTTCTTTTGGCTGTCGAAACGTCAAGAAGTTCTTTGTAGTTGAAGAAAAAAAAAAATATATATATATATATATAAATAAAAGTTGATCTTATCACTGTAAGATTGGTAAGATCTGTATGGTAAATTTGGTACGTTTGGTAAGTTTGGGTCTGTTTTAGCGCTGGATGTCGTATCAAGGCTGTAATGGGCCTGCAGGCCGCCAATCAGCAGAGACTCCAGCTTCATTTTTGCGCATCCTGGTGCCCAATCCGAGCAGATGATGGGCGGCCTTGGGCATTTTAGTGCATTATGTATGGCTGCGTTGTTCTTCTACGATATTCGCCACGTTACGAGGCGAATTTATGTTATGTGGGTGTGTAGAGAGCCAGGGCGGCAGGGGGGTGGAGGACATAGGGTGGAGGGTATCCCGCATACCACTTATTCTCTGAGCTAGCTATATAAGAGAATAATAACTAAAGGCGGGTAAAGGGGGGGCTAGAATGAGACCTGCTCGGCTTTAGATCTGCAATATCAGAAGCAGTTGCTATGTACATCATCATCATCAAAGCGTAAGGTAATTTAAAAAAAATATGATATCACCCTCCTCCGCCGAAGAAGAGGCCATCAAACAGGTCGAAACCAGTATTTTCGTTCCAGTCATGCTGGAAATCAACGGCAGTGCCGACCCCGAATCCCAGGTCGAGGGCACTGTTTCCTGCCATGGCGGCATGGGTGCTATCTGGTGAATATAACGGAAGATTCGTCAAGTTGATGTCTGCTCCTTCACCGCTGGTGTAGACTGCTTGGTTGTCCGAGGTATATGCGCGAGAGGGACTGTTCAGGAGATCATCAAGTTCAGAGACGTCAAATGGTGCTCCCGCTTGGCTGGTGGCCTGTGGGGAATGGAACTGTTGTTGGTGAGGGTTGGGCTGTGGGGTCCGGCTTGCAAACGGGTCAGTATATGTGTAATGATGGGTAGGCTGGTGGTGTGGTGATTGCTGCTGCTGCTGTTGGCGTTGAGATGCGGCTTGCAGCTGGCTGTTGAACTGGCTAGGTGAAAAGGAATCTTCTAGTTGGCATGATGCGGACTTTGGTGACCTCTTTTCTGGAGTAGTGGAAACGGCTCGGCTGGGTATATCGCGGTGCTCATGGTATTGTGGAGGTGAGGAAGACTGCACCTTTCCAATCTTAGACGAGTCAACGGGGTTGGACAGAAAACTCGTGATGCTAAAGCGGTTGTCTGTGCATGGTTCAACCGGACGAGAGCCCACGGGCTGTTCTGGGATTGAATCCAGGGTTCGAGAGGGCCTGGGGCCATGGTAGTACGGCTGTTGAGGATAAGGCTTATAGAAAGGTGTGTTGTGGAAGTATTGACTATCAGAAGTTTGATTCTGGTTCTGATTTTGATTCTGATGCTGTGTTCTGGATTGAGCGCCGGGGCTGTGAGTACCCAGCCTATCACCAACGCCTACTTGCTGGCCAAACCCAGTGGTTGATAATCCCATTTGAACAGTGGCTTTGCTCATCCGCTCAAAAGCGTCTCGACATGCTTCAGCAGGTGGACATTTCTCTATCAAGTCCTTGAGTACAGATGTTGCAGCGAGGACAGTGAAGTCGACATCATCAAGGGTCTATCATTAACGTCAATAAATATTTTCTTGATAAAATTGTAAGGATAGGTACTGACAAGTCTACTCCGCACAGCAGGCGAATGCCAGATAGCATACAGAAAAGATATGCCTGATAAGGTGGGTTAGTATATTTCATTTCGCACAAGACATGGGGGAAAGAACTAACCGGCCATGAACAAATGGTGAGTTGCAAGGTACGTGAAATTAACCAGACGCACACGGTGTAATTGTCTGTAGATTCTCAGCACTTTTTGGCCGGCTTCGGCAACCATTGAATAGACATCGTCCTCATCTTCTGGCTCCTCAACACTTGCCAGCGAGGGGCTTGATACATCCTCTGTCGGCGTTCTCTCTGAGGCCAGTGGCTTCGGCACAGTCAAGCTCTGTCTATACAGGCTTATCAGAGTCTGCCAATAGTTCAGCTCCAAAAACTGGAGCGAGAACTGCACCCCTATCTCATGAGCCTTGGGCGCAGACAGTATCCATTCATCAAGACGCCTGTGAATGTCTATCCGCCAGAAGCGGAAGCTATCAAACTTCTGCAAAAACGGAGAAGGAAGTTCCGTATGCATAAATGAGTTGTTACGGTTTCTACCGTTCTTCCTCGCTAGCATGGCCTGCTGATGTTGAAGGACTTCCTGTATTTCAGATTGGAGGAGGCGTAACTTGAAGTAATGATGCGCAACTAGTTTGTATGAGGGAGCCCCAGACGGTGCTGCAACGAATCCAGCCTTGGTAATATATTCATCGTCAAGGAGGGACGGAAACTCGGTGGTGATGACTTGGTCGGTGATACCAAATGGACGGCCAACGCAGGTACTGACCAGCCGGTCGAAGGAGTAGACACACCACCAGAGCCTTCGTCTGAAATCACGGATGAACTCCCTTCTTCCTCTCTCGCGAGGATCAACTTTCAATTTGGCTCTGAACTGTTCGGATGAGTGCTCATCAATGCTGTCCATACGAGACATACGGCGCGCAACTTCAACCTCATCGATGGAATCAACGCCTGTCCCATCTTCATGATGCAGGCCAAGGTCAATTGCAAGCCGGACAGCAACGCCGGCAATGTACCAGAGTCCAGGGGCAACTGGTCGAAGCAAGGCAAAGCTGGCTAGCAGCAGGACAGCTTGTAGCTCCTCTAACCCGCCCCCAAAGCCATCTGTAGATGAAGAAGACCCTAGACACGACTCCAGATGAACGACGGCAGAGGCGTGATATTCTTCCGGTTGGTGCTGCTGCTTTGACAGCCGCCTTCGTTTATGTGCCGGCGAGGGAGTCGGGCTCTGTCTGCTATTGTCGTTCTTCATCTCCTGAGACGTAGGCTCACCGTCGCCTTTGGCATCAAAAATGACGCCAGCTCCAATAGCACAGACGATATTCAAGAAGTAGAGATCCCGAGCCGACCGCTGCTTTTCCTCTGTAGCATACACCCGATTAAAGACCTCCATGAACTCGACACGGTGCAAGATAGGGATCTGGGCGTTTGAATATTCGAAATATAGACTGACGAGCCTCTGAGAGACTTCGCGGTCTGGGAAAGGTGCCTGCTTCATGATCGGTTTTGTCTGCAGGCCGAAATATGAGTCCCTCATGGAATGCATGCCTCCGCCGGCGGCGCCATCACTGCCATTCTTGCTCGCACTGGCAGCAGCCGACTGTCGACGGGAGCCCGGCCGGATAGATCCTCGTTCGGAGACGCTGGATGAAACCGAGCTTCTCACGGCGGAAAACACCACTCGAGCAAAGGATATGCCGGACGTAGAGCCTAGGTATCTCGGGTCAGAGGTGCCCTGGACAGGGACCATCCCGACGCTGGAGACCAGTCTATCAATCCGCCTGCTCGCATCGTCGGCTAGCGATTTCCTACCGCCATACAGGCTGCTGTTGCTCCTGGCCGCAGTCTTTGCTGGCACGGACAGCGGACTGGCCGGCTCACGCTTCACCCTTGCGTCACTGCTTCCTGGTGCAATATTATTGTTGTTATTCAACGGCAGTCTTTCCTTTGTCCCGGCCTCCTTTGCATGCGTTGCACCCTGTGCTTCGTCTCCTCCTCCCCCTTCTGCTGCTGCTCCTATAGCTGCTGACGCGCGCGCCAGGCTGGCCAGGCGTAGCTCGTCTCCTTCACCTTCGTGCGCCTCCGGGGGCCTAAACGCAACGCCATTCTCCGTCAGAAGAGCCTCCAGGTATGCGACACGAGACTCCAGAAAGAAGACATAGCTCCTCGGTATCTCACGCTTTGTAGCCGGGTCATAGCCGACGCAGTGAACCTTCGCCTTCTCGCAGGACTGGCAGCGCGGGAGCCGCTGGTCGCACCGGTTCTTACGGATTCTACAGCGGTTGCAGGCAGAGACGTTTCGAAACGTTGTATGCGAAGTTGCAGACGCGGGTGGTACCTCGAGATTGGTCGACCTTTGGCTCGCACTCGTACCAGGACGGCTCATGGTTGGTATGGCAGGCTGCTGTAGCTGTTTCTGCTGCTGCTGCTGCGGCGGCGGCGGCGGGGGAGTAGTAGCTTGTACTCTGTCGAGATCCAGGGCGAGCGGTCACTTCCAGCGTGGCAGCAGAGCTGGAGGATCCATTGGGCGCATTCGGTCTCTTGAGGCCACTGGAACTCGGTGGTGAAGCAGCTGAGGCGGGCGAGGACAGTTAAAGATGGAGATGGAGCTGGGGGTTCGAGCATCGCCGGACGGGGGTGTCAGTCCAGATAAATCACTAACTAGCCAACTTAGCGTATTATGTTATACGAAGGTTGATGCAACTCCATCAGAGGGCCAGCAGCTAGGTCCGGCCGTATATGATCAATAATATTCTATCGCGAGGGCCTTCTTTTCGTCTCTAGGTATCCCATCTCTTCTTTGCTTTTTATTCGGGGGATACCTGCCGGAGAAAAAACTGAGCGGCTTCGGGTTTATTAGCTATTTGGTAGACGCAGCAAAAAGCGTGCAAAGGCTTGACTGCTAACTAGTGGTGAATATACCCATCAGAGAGACAATAAAAAGGGCGAAGAGGAACTCGTAAGGTCGAGCTTTACAGGTAAGATGGCTGCAGCCGGGAAAACGAGTTGGCTGAGCTGCTCAAGTGGGGAGGGGGGTCTACCAAATAACAAAGCCCTTCTACCAAAATTGAACAGCAACAAAACCATCCAACGCCGGCTTTCGACAGTGTTAATATCAGATAGGCAGTGAGAGAAGGCGCCCTCGCTATCACTTCTACTCCTCGCGGGTCAGAATATCGCATATTTCTTTGCAGAACTTCATGTCCTCAATTAGCATGCTACGGCGCCCAGCATGGCCAGTGACTACCTCCCGTACTAGTCGCACCCAATAAAAGAAATAGGGGGGTTAGATCGGCTGTTTCAACGTTGATAGAAGGGAAGAATGGCTGGCCTCTTACAAGCATAGATCTTGGAGAGAAGCTGGTTCGGACACGCAGCTAACATTGAACAGACCCGAGTGTCCTTGAACTGCTTTCCCTCGTTGGATCCGGTTCTAGCGACCGGGCTGGCATATTGAGCTGCCTCGTGGAATATCAGCTTCATGGTTTCCAGGTCCTTTCTGATCTGGGCATCTCTTGCTTCCTGGCCTGTGTAACTATGTCTTAGTAACTATCTACATTGCTGGGCCTGTAGGAAGGGAAAAAGAAGGGGGCAAACATGGACATATATATACATACCAGCTTGCTGTAGCTGCGCTGTCTCTTTACAAAGAGCAGAAGAAGGATAGTCACTGCGACTAACTTCATTATCAACCTCTAGCCCATCATCCATGAAAATATCCCCTTGTGGCTCAGGATTTTTCTGCATTTCTGCTGCTGGCTTTGCCTGCTTGGAGCAAGAGGCCAGAGGTTCTTCTGCCTGCCTCTTTTGCGAGGTCATCTTTTCTCTGTATATGCGATATCAAGAGTGCTCAGCGGGTGTGTCAAGGCTGACAGATGGATTGGCTGTTAAATCGAAGGCAGGTTATGGATAGTAGAACAGGTAACTGAAGCAGAGAAGTGAAAGAATAAGACTGGGATTAAACATCAATTTCATTATCTTGCTATAGAAGCAAGCCATAAAATAGGTATACAAAGATAGTAGCAACCCTATTGAAGATTGTCTATATAACTCCTCAAAAAGAAACGAGGAAGAAAGAAAACATCAGGCATTTCGTTGATTCCCTTTATCCCCCTATAATGAATGATGCGCCATAATCCATTATCCGTCACGCCAGCACGGGTATATATAGAGTCAGTTCAACCCCCTCTGGAGCCATCTGTAGTCTGTTGGAAATTATAAGACAAGGAGTCAAAGGCTCCTGGGATATATACAGGCTCAACCGATCCTCCGGATGATACAATTGTGTAGAGTGCCTCTGGTGAGGTCATGGCCATCCCGGAATGAGGAGTGACGGGCGCAGAGTCAGTAGTCAAGATATTGCCGTATGTATTGCTGCTGCTGTTGTTGTTCTTTTGGACATTGAATGTTCCATTGTGTAAAGTGGCTCCAGTGTATCCAAGCCCTTGAAGCTCAAGGCCATCAATCACACGGCCAAGATCGTCGTAGCCATCATTTAATTGTTGAAGAAACTCGGCATCGAAGCCCATCTCTAAAAGCGGATCGACCGCGGTGCTTTCATTATTCACTCCATGGGAATGGACGGGCATAGGGCTTGGAAAGTTGAGGTTATGTGGACTGTGGGAACCAGGGGAAGGGGTGTAATTGTGCGTGCTGCTTCTGCTTCCGCCTCCACTTTTGAAGCATAAATCAGAATTATTCCTAGTGCTACCTGCGATGCTAGCCGGATTGCTGGCGGTTGTTGACTCAAACCCAGAGGGAGGAGATAAGGTCCCCGACAGCGCTTGGCGAGGCCTGGAGGAATGGGCTGGAGCCTGCCGTAGGCCCCCATCGGCGGCAAACGGTGGCTGCATGCCCAGATCTTCAAGCTTAATGTCTTCCGTATCCGAAGAATCCTCAAGACCATTGTTCCTCTTCAAAACCTTCAGCCATGTTGGGTTGTCTGCGCACGTTTGGTTCCAGGTATCATCACTTCCATAGACAATCAGTCTAGCCTTTGACTGCAGCAGTTTATCAGTAGGAGTGATGCCTTCGTCAAAGAGCCGTGCAATGTAGGCGGAAAGCTCTTTTTCTAATCGTCGGAAACAGCTAGCATCGGTGCGGAATGGCATCCCGAGGGCTGACATTCCTGTATCTTCGCTTGGTGCAACTTTGTGTTCTTTGCTAAAATTGCGTCCGTATTTTGCTAGATTGAAGGCCTTGGATGCTACCCACGGGTCTAACGTGTTCCTCTCCTGCCCAATAAGATAGGGAGGCATGGAGTTTTCAACGCATTCCTCAATATGCGATTCGAATCCCCAGTCACCTCGCCATTGGGAAATTTCAGTCCCAGCCTTAAAATGCGCTGCGAGATGATCGACACGTTCTTTCCAAGTGTTAAAGGTTGCTGAACAGAATCCACATCGGGACTTGATCTTGGTCGTAGTACTCTTCCAGGCGTCCATCCATGGAGCAAGTTTAACACTATGCATCAAACGCAAGTGCTGATTCAGATGATCCTTGCGGTAGAAAGTCCGCTCCTGGATCGACTTTTCCTGACAGGTGCTAAAATTGTGTGTTTCAAGATGGTCGTCGTCCGGATCAGGATGATTGCAGAAAGCACAGACAAGCTCGCCACCGGCATTAGTGATGACCCCCCCATTTGGCGCACATGTCCACTTGTCAAGGGCGAGATGCAACGACTTCTCATGGCGTTGCCAATCATATTTAGTTGGAAACGAGTCAGTACAAAAAGTACATTGGAAGATTCGGGCAACCCTTGACTTTTGGAAAGGGTTCGGTGCTGCTGCAGATTTATGGCGCCGTCGTCGACGTTCCCGGTTTTCGGTTGAGTTCCATGACCCGCGCGAGCGGTGTGAAAAAGCTGAAGCAAATGACATCTCGGATAAACTAGACTTATTCGTGTCCGCGCTATAACCGCTAATTGAATGTGCAGTCAATTTATTGGAGTATGAATCGTCGTTGCTGGAGTCAGTGTGGCGTGAGTGCGATTTTAAATGGGGGAAGTCAGATTCCAGATGAGAGATGAAAGAACTAGTAGCCATGGCCTGAATGATATCTCTTGCCGAAGCTGCTTCGTTTTCCGGTGGAGAATGTTTCCATCTCTCGAGGGGGTTGAGCTCAGAGATATCAACCCCGGGAGGAAGACGCTTTCCGGGGATAGTTACCGCCCCGGGGTACGGGGAAGTACAGCGAGGTGGAGGTCGTACTTTTCCTCGTCGACGGGCGTTTGCCAACCAACTAGAAATCTGGCTCCTGTTCAATCCAGTTTTCTGTTTGAGCTCGTCCTTCTCGGTGTCAGTTGGGTAAGGATGTGAAGCGTGCTCTGAGATCCAGGACTTCAGGATCTTGACGGCTTTAAGTGAAAATCTGACCCCAGATTTGCGGGGCTGTTGTTCTATATCTTTTAGTTGGTTGGAGATATTTCCAGGGTTTGGTGGTTGGCTTGGTGATGAGGGCTCTTTGGCAGAACTGGCTTCGGACTCGGATTGTTGAGTATCGATGTGATTTTCTTTGGACAGAGGGCGGGTAAAACTGCACTTTCGGTATAAAGCAATGCAACAAGTGCAGGCGTTTTGCATAACACCTCTTTGAGCAACGACACAATCCAATCCCATACAACGGCAGAAGTAGCAGGGGTCCTTCACGCGGTGCATAGGATAAGCTCCATCGAGGCTCGAGGGCTGTTGTCCATCGCTGGGTTGACTGAAAGAAGGTGTAGTATTGGGAGGCGCAGCGTTGTCAAAGCCGCCCAGTATTGGCTCGCAGCGGTCTTGGTCAGCAACTTCGGTGTAGCGGAAGATGTCCCCGTTCTGTCGAGCAGCTTCATCAAAATCGAAATACTCCATGTTGAGAGGAGCCTGAACTTTTAAATAAGATGGTCAACCTATTCAGCTCAATATGAAGGTATCCACACGGTCCGGGTTAAGACCAATAGGCTGGATATGGCTGGGGGTTTGTTACGAGCTGCTGCTGGTGATCGAGTTTACAAAGTGTCGAAGTAACAAGCCGTTCGGAGGACCGAAGAGGAATAACCTACCCAGTCAGTCCAGATTACTAGGCCTTCCTCCCGTATCTTCCTCGAAGATTTATGCAGTGAGATGGGTTCCTTGAAAGTCGCAGTAACAAGACGAAACATGCTCAAGCTGGGAGGAGGGTATTTTGGGAAAGAATGTGAGAAGAGGAGTGATTGAAAATCACCAAGCTGGCTTGAGTCACACTTCTCGTTTCCTGCACAGCGGAGGCTTGGTGCAGTGGGTTTATCCAGAACGACCCTTCGTGATCATGGAGAATTTTCTGCTCAATAGGCTTTTGGCGCTAGACAGGGTAACTATAACTTATTTATAGGCAAGGGATGTGCGACACTCAGAGACGGCGCTAGTTGGTAGAGCGGGATCCCCCGCCAATGTACTCCGTAAACTACCCATGATTGAGTGCTCAGTGTTGGCCGTTTTCATCCATCCTTTATTTGATTTAATTATTGCGAGGGAGGCGTGTTTCGAGATTGCCAGTACCACCACCTCAAGGGTTGTGTAGTTATTGCATTTTTTCCGACTCCGTATGTTTGGGGATCCCTCGGAGGGGGGCCGAGTAGGCCTTTCTCCCTTGGCATTGGCGGGAAGCAGCATCGCCTTCGCACGACAAAAGGACGCTTCCAGTTGCAACATAGTTTTGCACCAAGTCAGCAGGTGTATCAAAGTAGCGAGACTACAATTACTAGCCTGCAACCCGGTCCCCATTAGGTTATTTTTTCGTAATTTTTATTTTATTTTTTTTTTTTTTCTTTTATTCTTTCCTCCTCAAGTCGCGGTCAGCCGGCCCATTTCCTTAGTTGTGGGGGAGGAAAGGTTGGCTGTGGAAAGTAAAGTCAATCACGGCTGACATAAGGAAATGACTGGTTGAGATTGCACGCCCTTCGTTTGACATTGCGGCCGTTGATGCTGGAAACCCATCCCCACAATTTCTAGAACATCCCCAGTGCATGTTACTTCTTCTTTTTCCTTTTTGGAGGCTCGAAGCACGCCTCTAGAATTCGATGGGGATGGACGAAAGTATACCAGAGCCGTCTGCCCCGGAAGAGTCAATGGAAGACTCTGGATCGGAGTTCTGAAGATCGTTGGATTTCCCTCTCCTTGGACTCGTACAGAAGTGTCATGATGCTCTCGGTTGACTCCAGCCTCGGTCAAGACATCCGACGTTGATCATGTTCGTCATTTCTTCCCAGCGTTATCTATTTGTCAAACCCCTGGGGTATGGAAATAAATAAATGACCGTGGTTGTGGAGATTTTACACACGTGTCTCCTGCGCCAACCGACAAATTGGCAACCTGGACAAGCACAAAAAGGCTTGGACAACCGGCACCGATTTCCGGCCGGGCTAACCTTCCAGTCAAAGCTATCGTGCCACTATAAATAACTAGCCAAGTATTTTCTCACCCTCCTTTTCAGATGTTATTTCCCAGGTAAAAAAAGGGGACGTCTCCATGGTAGAAGTAGCAAGTTATCGACGGGTGGTAACGCTCGTCAAATTCGAAGATCTGCAGCCTGATTTGGTGGGAAATACGGCCATCACGGCCGGGCGAGGTCTTAGCCTGGAAAATAGCATCTTGTAACGTCATTTTCTGTGCAAGACGCTGCCTCTTGAGGTCGGCCCGTCCATCCAGCTTCACCACAGCATCTCTCGAGCCTGACAAGACACAAAAACAAACTCGTCAGCAACTGCAACTCTGGACCAGTTGCATCTGCATGCGTAGGAGCCAATCATCTCAGCTCCCCTGCGTGGACCTACCTGCTTCGGACACTGTTCCATCGCTGGCGTTGCTTCGCATCATCCACCGGCCTTGGTCACAGATTATTGGTGTAAATCGTGTTTGCGGGTCCTCGGAGCCCTGGAACCAAGCTGACAGGAAGCTCAATGATACTCTGTGTAGGAATAATCCCTCCCCAGGGCCAAGCCCCAGAATTGGTCACAATTTCTGCTGGATGGCCAAGCCGATTAAGAATGTCAACGGGCGGGTCTCTGTTGTCTGAAAGTGAGGTTGTTCGTTGGTTTTAGGTTGGTTTAATGTGTTGTTGGTGATCGATGGAGCGAAAATGTCAAATATTACCCCTTTTGGTTGCTTACATAAGACACCTTATCGTTATCAGATCTGTAGCTATTTTTATTCTCAGGGGCAACAAGATATCAGATTATTACCAGCTACCTTGTTTGTGACCTATACGACTGCTCCTGCATCTTTTTGATCTTCAGCCTGCTGGAAGCCAAGCAGCTAAATTCTCGACAATCAGCTAGTTGAGGGAATATTTGAAGGGTTCCGTCTCACGCTCTGGTACCAGAGAGCAAGGGATTTCTTCTTATGCACCCCGTACATCTTACCAGGAAACTTGCTCATACCCCCACGATCCGAGACCATCAAGGCCCGCAAAAGCTTGAAAAAGGGGAGGCACACGGATGGAGTGCTGTCCCGGCGTTGCTCTATTTTGATTCGTGGGAGGTTCCCTTGGAACAGACAAGCTCCTTATATTCACTCTCTGAGGGGCCCCAAAACGCCTTGTCGCCTTCAACCCTAATCCGTCGCTGATCTGTCCGAACAGGGCTAAAAATCGACATAACCGAAGCGATACACGGATATACGTGAACATATTTCTTGCGTGGCTGAAAAATTCATTGGAGTGTTGAAGACAGAAAACAGTTCTCACCAAATTATATCTAAAACTTTTCAATTTACTCTTCATGAGAACGAATCATGATTAGAAGTGTATGATGATCCTGCCCACGCGTCCGCCTTTCAGCCCGAAATGGTAGTGTTCCATTTTTGTCGGCCGGGTAGATGACAATTTCTAGGTAATGCTGTATACGCATATTATACACAGTTCCATATACACCACCAGACTCGAATAACTTATATATTTCTTTAAGTCCAGATTTCCTTGGCCACTCACAGAAAAGTATTTAGATGGTATATCTCACTCCTAGGTCTTATGGTTATGTAACAAAGTATAAGCATTTAACTAGACCTTTCACACTCGATATGTTGGAAATACTGTTATTGAGGGGATTATACACTTCCACCTGGGAATAATTAGAGAGTTCAAGAGCATTATATGGATGGTGGTGGTGGTGGTTCTTCATTATAGTCCTATGCAGTCAATGACTATGAGGACTCAAACACTATCTCTTAGCTAATTATATATATATGTCTTCCTTAATATAGGGTTCCTAGTTAGGTATTCTATTTAACTAAGCTTAAACCACCCTATAGGCCTTAGGGGAGGTAGTTAACCCCTTACTATTTATAAGGTTCTCCTAATAACTAGTCTATAGCCTTAGGGAAAACCCTCAAAACCTAAGGTAACTAGGGTATCTAGATATTATTTAATAGCAATAAGTAAAAGCCTTAAGGTAGTACCCTACTCCTCCTAGGGAGGGGGACTCCCTATAGTAATATAATCTTAGGGAGCGTAGGAATCGAACCTACAACCCTGGTATCTCAGATGGCCGGGCCCCAACCAGTAAATCCTACTTACCAGGGCTTCCAGGCAGCCGTATTACCACTCGACCACCTGCCCCCCGCATTACATGGATTGATGTGTAGGGTTTTGTCTTTCTATAACGTGTTGTATAGTCACTGAGGACGCACTAATGCCAGGGTTTCAGGGGATACATTTTGCTGAAAATTGATACATGAACCCACGTATCCAATTAGTTACCTCTGGCACACTGAGTACCCGGTAGCAAGGCGAAATCATTGAAATAGTTAGCTAGTTAAAGCAGGAGTCAGCTATTCTGACCATTTATTTATAGTTATCGTAGCTAAATGAGGCAGTTCGCTCAAACCAACTTGCCTATCAAATAGACACTAGTGCCCCTTTAGCGTCAGTGAAACTTTTGATAGCAATTAATGAAATAAAAATCCACTCCTTTCATGGAGCTTTCAGGGTGGCTATAGTTAACGCTGGATCTATAGTTAACGCTGGATATTAAAAAGGAGAACTGATCAACCTCATCCCGGTCCCTGAGGCTTAGGATGGCCTGTAAAGCATGGATGTGTCTACTATAGCTAGCCCGTCAAAGTAGCTATTGGTATTCTAAGATCACTACGATATCGTCGCGAGATTAATATAGTGATTGGATTTACCCAGTAATCACTGCTAAACGCTCCAATTCCTCGTGTCTACCCTACTTGGATGGCTTTCAGAACTCTGCGACCTAACGCCTATCTCTTCATAGGGTCTAACTCATATGGAATCCGAATATGGCATTTGAGATTATGTCAACATCAAAGGTTTAGATAACCAAGTCCTAGATACAGTTGCAATTCTCTGGGCCTCGATAATATTGACCAATAGTATATGGCCAGTGTCATCTCCTTTTCTTACAGGCTTAGCATCGCTACTATGCCAAGGAGGATTTTTCCGAGCCTGGTTTGTATCACCCAATGGAGCCTTTTTGTTAACCTCCCATGTTGATCACAGAATTCCAATCCCTCTGCCTAAACCTCGACTTAGGACCAAAGTCCGCCTTAAAAGACACGAGGAATACCTGATGACTATACCAAGGAACAACGTCCTATTCCCAGCTCTTTAACTTGTTTCCCCTTTTACTTGAGCCTGCCAGCTATACCCTGCACCTGGGAATACTTTTGTCTTACTAATGGACGAGATATTTCTTCTTTTTAAGGGCTAAGTTTATACAATATATAATCAGCGAACATCGGCAACTTACTACCTGGTATCCCAATGATAACTCTGACTCTGAAGTATAAATATTGCGTGGTTTTTTGGAGGAATTCTTGTTAGCTGCTGGCTTGTGCCAAGTTGAGTATGGTTGATAGTTTGGAGGGATTGGTAATATGTAACTAGGCAGCTATTATGCTGGTACTCCTGGGTGATATGAGAGAGGCAGGAATTAGCAAAGAACGGTTACTCTTTTGGCTCTCTATACGGTATATCGCGAATGAGACTGGAGTTTTCTGTGAGTCTCAGATGAATACTATTCTTGACAATCCTGAGAATTCGCATTTGGTAAATGGCCGGCCTATGTTGAGCAAAGTAGAGTGGATACGGAGTATTCAACAAATAGGGTACCATACGTCGAGAGATGGATGCTCGCTGGTGTTGCAAGTGTATCAATTATGATATTAGGTGTATGTTTATTAATAACAGTCAGCGGCATAACAAGTATTTAGTTCCCGTGCTATTATTTACTCCACCAAAAGCTAACACTAATACCAGCTTGCAATCCTCGAACATAGTGCCACCAGCCGATAGGGATGTATAGGCATTCGCCCTCTTGTAGAACTGTTTCTACATACTCTGCTTTGAAAAAGCCCGGCCAAAGATCTTCCCAGGTTTCTATCTCTGCAGGGGATAACTCAATGGCTGATATGTCAACTTGAGATGTATTGGACATATCTATTTGCTCCTCGTCTGCGTCCCCCTTCTTCTCCGTGGTAGATGCATCCGAAGCTTTATGGTTCACAACTTCTTTTCCACGCGGGTAAATTTGACTTGCTGGAGTGTGAGGAGAATAAAGTCGAATATATTTTGCGCCAACCACTTGAGTCAGGATGTTATGATATGGGTCATGATGTAATGGAGATATTGTCCATGAAGGCCCTATCCAAGTATTAATTATGGGGTCAGCCGTGGTAATATTATCACTGAGAGCATCTTCGTCATCCGCATTATCATGGTATCCGATAACTTTTCCTTTTTTGCCATGAGGCCTCGATGCTTCACCTTGCTGAACTTCCTTTGAACTGCTTCCGTTGTCTGCTTGTTGTATGTTCTTTTTATATAGGGGAGTACCTGGTTCAGGTTCAGGTGGTTCGGTATAGCAGTAATCGGGAATATAAATATCTTCCTTCAGGGACGGAATCTGTGTCAAAAGGTCATGCTGTGCCATATAACCAGTCTGTGCTTCCTCACCAGTTGAACTGGTGCTTCGCCATAGATAATCTTTTACAAATTCTGCAAATGGCATAATCCGCTGGCCCCAACCTTCGTCAGTATAGGACCTCCCAACCTCGACTGGAACCAATCTTCTTCCGCCAAATGTCCTTTCCGCCCAGTATTTGAGTGACGACCATGGCCGTGAAGAGAGAGCTGGCCAGTGGTCAATCGCATTGGTAATCACTACGGGCGTGCGTATATTCCATATGTGTTCTGTAAATTCCTCAAATGTAAGCTCTGCAGCCCGGGGAACAGGATTCTTTAAAGGAGGCTGAGGTGCATAATCTAAAGGAAATAGACTGCTTCTCTCGCCTACCTTTTGCCTCTTAGCCGGCCGAGACGGAAGTAGGTGAGGAAGCTCAGGTTGGCCGGGTGGTACAGATGAGATAAATGAGGTAACATAATCAAAGTGAAGGCTTCCTTGTAATGTAGATAACAGGTCCTCTATTAGTCTTGTTCGGCGAGGAGCACCAGACATTATCAAAGCTTTATCCAGTATGTGAATCACATCTGATACCCAAAGATAATCAGTGGGAGGGTGCATCTCCGAGTATTCATCTTTTCCTTCATCCAGTGGTCCACTCAGGCACACTTGCTGTGCATTATATACCGTCTTCCCGCCGACATGGCCGGCCCTGTCAATGTGTTGGACATGTCTCTTCAGTAGCAGGCATGCTTTAATTAGGCTGGCATCAGTGTAAAGCCTCCGCCAACAGTCTTTCACATCCTTGAAGGGAAATATTCTTAGATTCACGTCAGCGAGTTGGAGGGCACTGTCCGGTGTGTCCAGTAGAGCAGTTTTCAGTTTCTTAACTTCGTATTCATAACATTCCAGAATTGGGTCGTTGGGATCAGGAGCAGATATTAAGGATATTGCCCTATTTATAAGTTCATTTAATGTAGGCATTAGCAGTGAGCTGAGGTCATAAATCCCGTAAGCTTTTCATGAATCCTAGAAGAGATAAACTAGCTGGAGGATGTGATAAGACCGATCTATCGCCTAAGGTTGGCTGCTTTGTACGTATTTATTAGAAAAAGTCAAACTGAGGGAGATTTGCTGACATAATCTATATATTTCTAATTATAAATAGAGTTACTGTAAACTTTAAATTTTACTAGCTCACAGATTTATGACTAATCAACAAAGAGCCAAAGGAACGTCTTCTGCATCGATTTATGTTGTTGATACCAGTCTTCAGAGATAAAAGGGGGGGATGAGATAGAATCCCATATAGAGATGCTTCTGTCCTGAATATTATGCATATTAAGGAGGCATTCGATGTTCCAATTTTTGCCTTCATCACCATCAAGCTTCAATTATTAATACGAGAGTCACAAACTGAGTCGGTGGGCTAGTAATCGCTTATAAGATGTGCTTCTGCCTGTCCCTTACTTTGGCACGCTCAAGATGGATAACTTCATCATAAGGAAGCGGCGGAGAACACCACCCACGGCTACCAACACAAGTTTAGGGAATATACGCGATGATGAGCGTCTTAGTGCCGGCAACCTTGACCATGAGGAAGACGACTCAACAGATATGAAACTGGCTAAGCTGGCGTCTACCTTTCCAAATATCTCGCCAGTTGAATTATTAGATCTCCTCATAGCCAATGAAGGCTCTATCGAGACCACTACTTCATCTCTTATTGAGCATGGTATTGCAAGAAAGAAAAACAAGCAAGTAACCAACTCTGGGTCTATCCAAAGCTCATTGTCGTCTTACAGAATACGGATGAGCTCTGATCGAGAAATTAATTCCCCTAGCCTTCTTCCAACTCGAAAAGGCCAAACTCTTCATCTGTACTCCCCTGATGATATATCACGGTACACATCCTGTACACTGATACATAACTTTCTCCCACCGGCCGAGGCAACAGCTTTATTGAAGGAGCTTCTAGAAGAGTCACGAACCTTTGCCCGGCAAAAGTTTCAACTATTTGACAATGTTGTATCAAGCCCACACTCTGCTGGGTTTTATGTTATGACAGAAGAAGAGCAAAGGGAGCAACAATCCCAGTACTCATACTATGGGAGTCTCAGGAACGATGTTCGCAAAGTGACACCAGAACTGCGCCGAGTCTCATCCATTGTTAAGAAGACAGTGAACCAGGAAATTAAAAAGCGAGTGAAGACGTTTTATCCAAGTGGCAAGAAACTGAAATACCAATCTCCCAGGGAGTGGGAGCCAAATGCCGCCTTTGTTAATTGCTACGACGGCCCCACTGAGAGTGTGGGATACCACTCTGATGAATTAACGTACTTAGGCCCGAGAGCTGTCATTGGTAGCCTGAGCCTCGGGGTCGCTAGAGAATTTCGAGTGCGCAGAATTGTACCCCCTGACGAGGACGACGATGGAGATGCTGATAAAAATACCAACGGGGAACGTGATCAGAATGTTAGCAAAGAGGAAAAACGAAAGTCCAATCTTTCCCGCTCGGATATACAAGGCCAAATCTCAATTCATCTACCACACAACTCTCTTCTAGTGATGCATGCCGAAACTCAGGAGGAATGGAAGCATAGTATTTCTCCTGCACAAACTATTTCACCTCATCCCATCTCTGGTAACAAACGCATCAATATCACCTACCGATGGTATCGAGACTCACTACATCCGAAAAAGACTCCACGATGCCGCTGTAATATGCCTTGTGTACTGCGTTGTGTGCAGCGGAAACGGGAAACACGGGGAAAATATATGTGGATGTGCTATTCTAGTTACGCGCCGGGGAAGCAATCATGTTCTTTCTTCCAGTGGGCAAAATTTGATGATGACGGAGAGCCAATTTGGGATGAGAATAATGCCAAGGATTGCTGATGGTCTGCATTCCTTCCTAGATAAGCCCCTGGAAAAGTCATAGAACGGAAGCCGAACGACTTTCATTATTTCCGTATTAACTGCATAAAGGAATATCACACCAAACATCTTTAGCCCTCCTTCATGTTTCCTTGGATCAGCATAATTAAAAATGGCACATAACAGTTTCCTCATGTTAAACTCCACAACTGTCATGCCAACAACCAACATTTGAACATATGCTCCGAGTGCTACCAGCTAAAATCACTTAATGTATTCGAGCAAAAGGATCTTCCAAGCGATGCAAATGACCGTACTCGGGAATTCTGCCCAGGTATTGCTGTGAAGCCATTGGATCAGCATGCTTGCAAATATCCTTATATGGGTTCATGCTTCCAAAAGGAGACATGTCCCTATATGGCAGACAACTTTCCCTCATAGCTGAAGCCTCATCTGCAATTTCTTTTCCGAATTTATTTGACTGATGATCATTTCCAACAACATTGCTGACAAACTGTTGACGTTTCTTGACTGAAATAATCTCACTGTCGATCGGAGGTTTTATGATCTGGCGATGGCTGATTGCAGAATTACTTCGAGGAGCTGGAGGTTTTACACTATCATCCCAGGTAACTGCTTTGCGAAATCGAGGAACAGTGAATTTGTTCCTTGTCAAAAGTATGGTGTTTCCAGAGAGTGCTGAGTGTTTATACTCAAGGGATGCAGTGATGCGACATTCGTTATTAAGAGTACAACTCGCTGGTTTGAGCATTCCTTGAAGTTGATCAATCATCCGGTCCACGGTTGACTCGTTCGGGGTGTGTGGTTCATTCTCACTGTTAGTTGTGGTAAGACAGCTGTTGAAAGGGCCTTGCAACTCAGGGATAGGTTTCACTTTAACTAGAACTGTCCATGATTCGCCTAGTCGAAGTACACTCCGGTTGGTGTCTCCAAGAATAGCCTCAATTTCTGAATCAGGCCCTGCTTCAAGCTGCAATTCAAGATCATGAAGGTATCCTGAATCAACACCTATCCTAAGATGTTGAATAGCAAACTGCAGCTTGCTTCTAAATGTGAGGTCAACACTTTGTTCTTCACTACCAAAATTGGTTCCAATGTGCCAGCCTTCCAACGACTGACGGCTGTTAATCATCACGGCATTTTCAGGTGATATGGTATGGTAACGCAATTTATCCCCGTTAGACTCTCCCGGAATCAGTACTGTACTTCCTGCACTAACAAGAAACATATGACAAGATGCTTCTCTGCTTGAGTGGCGAATGATGTAGTTGGATGCCTCCTTTATAGCTCCTGCTAAACGAGACCGGCTTGACTCGCCATGAGGGAGCTGGAAAGCCGGGAGTGACCGGAAGAGAATCTCAACTGTGTCTAGACTGTAAGATGATAATGGCATCAGAATGTTCAGGTTTTGAGTGGGGTCTGGAGATATACAACAGATGGCGATTCTGTCGATAAGTATATCTAATACAGAGGTCAGCTGAAATGCGTTCCTACACGCAGCCTTCAGCATTCCTTCTGAAACCCTTGCCCTAAGTGGTCTTGTTAGCCCATATAAAGACGCAATGTCGGTAGAAGCTGAATACTTACGAATTATCAACTAGTATCATGACGTCTAGTGGGATATCTGCATCATACGGTCCACTTATATTTGCACCACTCGTAAAGTCATTGATACTAGCTGTAATGACAGCAGATATCCACGTTGACTTATCCTGCCCAGGACTAGATTTCAGGGAGTTCGGCACTAGGTTGACAGCTGCCGATGTGATTGGGATATGTCGAGGGATGCGAGGTATTGTGGCGATGCTGTCATGGGCCTTAGGAGCCAGGAGATTGTCACCTACTAATGAAAGGGCTTGGTGCCTATGGATTTGAGCTTTCTCGTAAAGGCCATTACAAGATTTTTTCCCTATCTGTATACCTGTGTGTCCTCGCAAATTCACTTCAGACCCTCTCCCTCGAATATTAGAGGCCTTTTGTAAAGAAGGGAGTCTGAAGCCGTGTGCCCTAGTAGTATTGTCTGCTTCGTTGCCACTACACTCACGGCTCCTAAAATCGAGTGCGTTGATAGCACGAGACAGGATATTTGGCCCTTTTGGAGTTGGCTGGCGTTGTCGAACGTCTGCAGATGACGCCCTACCATCCCAAACGCGCTTTTCCTAACAAACCAGGTGGTATTAGTAGCGATTATAAGAAAACATAATGCTTTGTTATCAACATACAGCAGTGAGGTTTTCCATTGCTTTTGGATGAAGGGCGGTAGCTTTATGTAGACGCTGGTGTTGCCTCGCAGGTATAGGTTTATTGCTCTTCACCACGTTCTGGGTAGTTGAAAGAGGAATAAGTGGCGGGCGAACAACATGAGAAGAGCGCCTCCTTGGTATACGACAAGGAGAGCAGGCGTTCTTGACTGAGGCTGCTGCGTTTTCATTTGCCTTTGAAAATATTTTTGATATCTCCAGTGGCTTGGGAGTTGGGGTGTCAGTTAAACTGTGCGTCGAGTCCATGCCTCGTAACGCGTCTAGCTTGATCAACGTCGCCAGTCACGCGAAGTGTTAATCTAGAAGACACGACTAGCCCTAAGTCAAGTATCTACAAAGGCAGGATATTGGGCTATCTTCCTTTGTACGATATTGACTTTGACTCAGTAACACGCTGCTGAGTCTCCAAACCCCTTCTAGACGTGCTCTTTTAGCTCCACTGCGTTTTGATATATATCTGAATAGCCTTCACTGGAATCACTTTGTTTGGTTGAATCGAAGGACCACGGAGGGTCAGATCGGCTTCTCTTATGTCGACGTCGAACACGGCGGCGGTTGTTCCGGATGCTCCAGTACTCAGCGCAAGCCAGCGCGCCAACAAATATAGCGAATAGTAGAATTATAGGCACAAATACTAAGCCAATTATAATCAGGGTTCGGTCTCTTTCGCTTCGTCTGGCTAGCTGCATCTCGAATATGATGTGGCCGTTTGCTCGCAGAACATAATCCAGGGCAAATATTCCTGCGGGGAAGTGGGAAGCCGGGCTAGTTGAAGGGTGTATATTGGATCTTGAATGTGACGCTGCTGTAGGTCGGATTTCAGGCCAGTCATATTATCATGCAATAATACAGTCCAAAAATGGCCCGGTATGTTTATTTCCAACAAATGTATACATACATGCATATATGTATAGCTTCTTCAAAGCGGAGGCTACGCTTAAGGGAACCGGAAGGTACGGCCCAGGGAATAAGACCTGAACGCCGTGGATCTAGAAGCCGGGGCAGGGCAGAACCAAAACAGAGCAGAGTAGGAGAGAAGCAAAGAGGTGGAGGAAAGAGCAGTGGGTAGATGTATATATTCTCAAGGCTAAGCAATTAAGAGCGAAAAGCAGGTGCATGTAGGGTATCAAAAGGAAATAAGCAATGAAACTTAAGCCAAAGGCCGGGGGTCAGCCTGACTTTCTTGAAGGGCAAGAATCTCTTCTTTTATATTTGTCAGGACGCTGTGGTCCAGCTTCTGAAATCGGATCTGTTCAGAATTGAGTCAATAACTAAGTAAATGCGTAGGGCAAATGGCATTCTATAACGTATGTGAAACGGGCCATTCTTACCATGTCATCCCCTGAACTTCCAGCTCGAGACGAGCTCCCAAAAAGTACCGATTCGAGAAAGCTATGATGAATATTCTCCTTGACTCTCTTTAGCCAGACGCCTTCCCAATTCCACTCACCGGGTGAACGGGCCTGTGGGCTGCTTCTCTGTATACTGTCTGGACTCAAAGTTCGCCCCAGTGTTGAGGGAGAACTGACTCCTGCATCCTTGCTGGATCGGCGTTCAGTTGCTGGTCCTGTCCGTGGCTGACGACGATGTGCACTCCAAGCATGCCACGCATTCGGACACCCCGTAGCCTCCAGCGGTATCGAATCCAAAACAGTTTCGTCGTCAAATGTTGAACGGATATACTCAAGAAGATCCAAGGTAGTAACGTCAGTAACGTCAGGTTTTTTCGGGTCCCGTATGTCGCAGGGAAGAGGTGAAATCCGGCTGATGATTTCATCAGTACTACTCTCTACCAGGCCACTATCCTGCTCTACATCAACGCCAATATTCCCCGGTTTTTGTCCACTTGTACTCCTAGATGATGAAAGAGAGCCGACAGCGCTCCGTTCTATCTTTACAAACCACTGTGGAAAACCATGTCGTAGGCTAAACCCACCAGGCGGTAGCTGCTCTTCGATTGTTCCCGTTACAGAATCCAGATTAGACGGCCGGTTCGAGTATGTCTGTGTAGTCAAAGGTACGACTAGAGGATGGAATATAGGCGTAGTAAACGTAACGAGCGGTGGAAGGTCAGGATATAAGGGCGGGAATCGGATTTGAAATCGAAGTATAGCCGATGCGTAGGGACCTATTACACTGTTTAGACTCGAGATTACGGTAGGCAGCCTAACTCAGAATTGCCGCATGGTACCTTTCTGAACAAACAGTACCCCAGACCAGAGGGCGGGATCGCTTGGAGAAAGGCTCACGTATACCCCAACTGGAGGAGACACCTTGATACTCGCGCTATGCAATCGTTCATGTTAGCTTGTGACGTAACTGGCAGTCAAACAATCAAGCGGAATTCCCTAAAGCTGGGAGACTTACAACTCAAGGCGAAGTTGCTGCCTGCGGAGAGCTGCAACCCTGGGAAGCTTGCTACTTGACATTGTTCTCATGGAGACTCAGCCTCGGTGAATGCCGTGTCGTGTTGGTTGCGGGCAAGGTGATTGAGACGTCGGTAGAATATTCCCATCAGGAGATTGAGATAGATAGCTAGGTAGGTAACGAGTTCGAAGGCTTGGCACTATCAGTCGTCAGGATCTAGGTCTACAGAAACAACTCGACGGAAAATAACCCATGATTAAGTATATCACAGGACGGTACACCAAGTAATCAAAACAATATATAATATTACATTCTAGGAAATATATATGATACAGAAGTCCATGCAAGAGAAATTGCTTAATATGCGCCGTCCATGAGTTGTACAATCCTCTCAGGAATGACATTCACTCCCTGTGCATTGATAGCACTAATAGGGATAGAGAATATGCGATTCCGCCAAGCATCTTCTTGCTTTGAAGGATGTTCGATGGTTCCTTTCTCAACCTGATCAAGGTAATCCTTTAGAGCTATGAAATTCTCTTGCGTGCCTGGAAGGTCGGCCTTGGTTCCAATAACGAACCATGGTTTCGAATAGATGTTATGGCTGCCATGAACAAGGGGTTGACAGGATGAATCTCTTGCCGGCGGAGGCGGAGAGCTGGCGTGGCCTTCATCTCCCATCCACTCAGTCACTCGTGGCTCGTCCAGGTTGTCAGTAACTGGAGTCCATGGAGACAGTCGAGACTGGGTATCCAGGCTCAGTTCACGGTCCCGCATAGACTGATACGCACCAAGCTCATTCCATAAGCCTTTAAGCGCCGTCACTGCATCTCCTGCACTGAGGTCCACCACAAAGGCAAGGATCCCAGCACGCTCTACGTGTCGTAAAAACCCTAGCCCAAGGCCTTTGTCCATATGAGCATTTTCGATCAGCCCGGGAATATCAGCAATTGTAAATCGTGGACGGGGGGCCCGCCCTGGAGTTGCCAGCCTAGCCTTCCGCTGGGAATAGTCATCCAGTACAACAGTGCCAATTTTAGGTGACAAAGTTGTGAATGCCCAGTTCCCTACACGAGTCCGACTATTTGTGATCGAGCGTAACAAGGTACTTTTGCCAGCGTTCGGCAGACCAACCAATCCTACATCGGCAAGTAATTTGAGTTCTAGCTCGAGTTCGAGCCTCATGCCTTGCTCGCCCTTTGTAGCAAACATGGGTCTCCCAATCGACTTCGACACGAAATGTGGGTTCCCAAGGCCTCCTACAGCACCTGCTGCAAGTACAATCGGCGAATCCATGTGTCTGGAAAGATCGAGGTATATTGGTGCAGCAGGCTGTACAGCTGCAAGGTCAGGCCTTCTCGGTGGGCCAAGTTCCGGGAAATCAGTTGCAAAGTAGTCGGAGGGCTGCGAGCCAGGGTATAACACCCACTGATCTCTCCGTGAGTTTATTGCTTGCAAGGCCTTTGTCCTGCTACCGAGCTCTCGGGTGAGCTCCTTCAGTTCTCGTTCCTTCTCTGCCACAGGATCGAATCTTTCGATCTCGCGTACCACTGTTCCAACAGGAACTTGCAACAAGACATCTTCCCCTCTTACCCCTCCTTGTGATTTACCTCTTCCATTTTTGCCTCTACCAGCTTTTATCACGCCTCTTCGCGCCAGTTTGTGTAGACTTGTCTGGCCTTCAACGGCCTGTATGAGTATGTTTCCTCCAGTGCCTCCGTCACCACCATTCGCAGGGCCATGTTCTAAGTATTTTAGACGTAGGAACGCAACGCATCCTGATCCTCCCGAGCCGGTGTGAACGGTAAGAGAGCATCGGTCTTGAAATATCGATCGGCCATAGTCTGATGGAGCCGGGTTTAGGCGGTTGTTCGTCTCGAGATCAAAGTCACTTCTACCGATCGATTGAGACGAGTGGTCATCGGGGGATATCCTATTACTCGTATGGAGCCTGGAAGATAATCGAAAGTGTTTGAGATTTTTGGCGGCCCTTAATGCACTCCTGGGAGCCAGGTTGGTAGATGAGCTGAGCAACAAACATGGGTAAAGAAATGGCATCAAAGTGCCATTGAGCTGAGCCATAGAGAGGAGGGAAATGGATATTGCGTATCACTTGTCAAGGAAGGGATAGAAACTCCGAATAATTCTCTGTATTCTACCTTCCAGCCATCAGCCGTCTCCTTTTCTCTGCACTGACACTGCGTCCTTCCCGCTCCTCAAGTCCATCGAGAAGAAAAAAAAAAAAAAAAAAAAAAAGCGCCAAGATTCATTCTATTATGTAATTTTTTGATTACTAATCAATCTTTAATCCGATATTTTGCTGTGTGCTAAAAAACATGCAGAATGATGAAGAAACGATGATGAATATTGATGGAGCAGGTCAACTGACCTGCTCATTCCCGTTCACAGCTAGAAAGGAAGGCTAAGTGTGGTCTGAGGAATCAAGGTTCAGGACGGCTTGCTTGTTCAAGCTAAGTCCGAGGCCCCAGTAGTGCTGCCGCTGTACAACATGCTACGATGCTCACCAAGACGGAATGGACTCCCAACCATTGGTTTACTATATAGAAGTTCACCATAGAGCAATGGGCAGTGAGAAGCCATCGAATGCACATTGCATGGGAACGCGGGTTTACAGATCACATCTACTAAGGCCTAACTTCCTGGACATTATCTTCATTACGTATTGGCCGATAACCTATATCATGCTTCATCCAAGCGATAACGATTACAATTCCTCGAGTTGAACAAACGAACTCTCGAATAGAAGAGGAACAAGTATGGAATCAAAAACAAAAGACGTCAGAAATACAACAAGGGCTAACTCCACATTCGCAGATGGGAAGTCTTACTGTTCAGGAAAATGTCCATGTGAGCAGGAAGCGATGAAAGTAAGAAGAGCTGCCTGGACACGTTCATCCTCACTTCTTTTTTCTTGCCCCCGCCTGCCAGGCGAGGGATAGACAAGCAAAATGCGAAGAAGAGTGGATCGACTAATATGCCTTGTGCCTTGGTGAAGCCTAAAAGTGAGTTGTCGGATTATGTATATCCATTCGGAGAAGTATTCCATCAGGGAAAGGAAGATCGTAAGGCTTTCTCCTTGTGCTCCATATTATAAACAAAACACAACGAGCAATGACTTATTTAGATTGATCTCGCCAAGCTGAACGGAACCAGTGCCGCTCGCCCGTGGAGGCCTGTGTGGGCTTTCCCCAAGTTCACAGGGATTAGCCATGCAGAGGTTGGAAGCTTTCCATGTTCCCTACCGCTCCTTGTGGAACAACCGGGACCGCCAACTAAACGTGTCTCTTGATTTGCTGTTGGATTGCCGAAATGAGAGATTGAAATTTCTTGTACTAATGAAAGGAGAATACATAGTCGATGGGGGTTTGAGGGAGGGCCCAGTCGACGGTTTTTAGGTACCCAAGAGTTCGAGGAGAAACAGCAGAGAAGAAAAATAAAACAACATAACTAATATAAAAATAATATGACCCTCCTGGCGAAAAATGACACGTAGTGCGAACGTAGTGAAGGAACTGGGGTCCCTGGTTGCATCTGTTATCTTCCTAAGACCGTGTTTCCGAGATTCTGAGCCTCAATCGTAAGAGGCCACTATCCCAAAATCGTCAGTATGACCAGAAGAAACAATGTGTAGATACCGAGACTGCGGTACAACGCGCAGAATCCTTCGCCGTTTCCGCTAGCCTAACTCCAGGATGACAGATTTATTAATAATAGTTAGTTAACTATCATGTCTGTCAGGCTGAGAAAAGAATGGCAAGGGTTGAAAACGAATCTCACGGATCGTGCCATGGTGCCAGGTCATCTGCACCTTAGCATACGTCAGGATGAAGGTCGAAACAGATTACTTCGTAGTTAAGAAAGGAGATAGAAAGAAACAAGAGAGAGGGCACCATGGACGCAACCAGGTCACTGATATAGCATGCAGTTGAAAGAATAACTACCCACTAGACTCGCACAACCAGCAAAAACACTTTTGCGAAGTTGCCTGCAGGAGCCTCGAAGTTTTGTTAAATTTTGCTTGTTTTCTGTATTACCGAATCGTTTTCGCTGAAATACTCGCCATCACGTAGACACCAGGGCAGCTTTAATCGAGAGGAGGTATAATGCCGTGGCCCAAACAACAGGTGGGAGTTCTTGATCAGTCAAAATCCATTTCTTGATGGCGTTCTGATGGTTGATGGTTGACCGTCCACCGCCTGGACCAAAATATCTGCCAACTCTAAAAAAAAAAAAAAAAAAAAAAAAAAAAAAAAAAAAAAAAAAAAAAAAAAATAAAAAAGGCTCACAGAGAGCTAGTTTATGGCTCGGGAATTGAACGGAAAGGAATAAACCCATTGGCCCAGCCCATAGCAGCTTGATTTTCGTTGAGGACGGGATTCTCTTTTTTCTTATTCGCTTTTGGTTCATATTCTTTTGGGCACCTTTACTCTTCGCCACAGAGGATTCATGGATGGAGAATGGACCAACCAGCACTTGGAGGCAGGAGA